TGTGTGTGTGTGTGTGTGTTTTTGTTTTGAGTTCCGTTACGCTCAGATGCGTGACCGCAGAGGGCTTCTCCCCCTTCTCTCTGTATCCGTCACTCTGCATGTGTGTGCATACCGATTTATTCGCTCAGTCCTACGTGATGTGTCAAGCACACATTTTCTTACATGCACAGGAAAACAGAGAAACACTGTGAGAGAGGGAGAGAGAGAAACACACGCAGACACGCACGCGCACACCGCAACACGTTAGCTCCAGTACCCGCCTGGAGACGCCGCGGCGGCGCTCAGCATCCCAATTCGCCCGTCGGGTAGTAAGACATAGTTTGCAAGGGACTGCGCGGACGCGGAATCCAGAAACGGCATCCCATTCATCGCGCATGCGAAGGCTGCACCGTTTACAGCTGGTTGTGCTGCTGCTGCTGCTGGGGATGTCGTCGTCGTGGTCGTCGTCGACGCCGATGGCGTCGACGGAGTTGCTGTTGCCGTCGGCGGTGAGGTACCGAACGGAGGTGCCGCCCTGTTCTCACCACCAACCGCCCCATTCCCGGTGCCACTTACTGCAATGATGTTCGGTTGCTGCACTGTCTGCCCCGATGCACCGACCACCATGAAAGGCATTCCGTACGGCTGCACTGGCACAGCGTTTGGTGTCGCTGCGCCATGAAACAACGGCATAAATGTGGGCGCAACGGGTATAGTTCCTGCCTGCGTGTGGTAGGGCTTCATTGAGGCATCGGGTGAAAGCATCATCATTGACGGCACCCCCGTGGTGGGAGAAGGTATTCCGTGGGTCAGCGCGGTGGTGGAGAGTGGAATAGGGCAGATATTCGGCGATGGGGCGGCGAGGTATGATGAGGTTATGACGTTGTTGATGCTCTCTTGGTACTGCGGCGGGGGCGGCCGACCACCGTAGGCTTGCGGTGTGAGGTTGCCCTGTCCCCGCATTTTTGCTGGCATGACACCTCGCTTTCTCGGGTCATTGTTATTAGCCTTCAACTGATCAAATCCACCGTTACCCTTACGTTCAGTAGCTATATCCCCCTTCTTATCTTGCTTCATCTTCACCGTCGTGAGGAACGGCCCACAGATGGGGGAGTTAAAGATACGGTAGAGTTTCCCGTCGTGACTGTATTCTTGTTTGGGACACCAAAGACTTTGGTCATCGCTCGGCGTCTCACGCGCCCGCACTACTTCACCTAGCAAACCCGCAAGGTGGGCCTGCACGTGGGCAGTAAATTCCTCGCCACCGAGGAATGTCTTTACATGCGGACTTGTCGCCAGCCAGTGCGCCACCGTCTTGTCCTTCTGCTGTGAGCGGGCATCATCCAGAACGAACTGCTCCCACGAGCTGCGCACTGCAGAGGGGGTTAGAATGCCACACACCCACATTATGGCGCGAAGCAGCAAGGCCCCACTCATCTCCATCTGAAGTCCGCACTCACCGCTAGTCTCCACCTCGTACGTGGTGAAGCGTGGCCGGTCGTCTTCATCTGAGATATTCCCCACAGCCCATCCCACAACAGCGGAATCGTAGAGGAACTTGAGCGTTGGGTAACTATTCCATGGAGTGGTGGTGACGAGGGATAGACGCGATATGCGGCGTTGAAACAAGTCCAATGCATTCGCAGTGGGGCGCACCGACATGACCGCACGGAAGAACTCCTCCTTCAGCACCATTCCTGCGAGTGTCACGACGCGTTCCAGTGTGCGGTCACCAGCCGCCTTAAGGATGGCTTTGCGCACGTGTAGGCATGGATTTTCGTCCGCCCGATCTTCATGGGTGTGGCAGCCGAAGTGACCAATCACGTTAATGCGCCGGCCGTAGAATGAGAAGCAGTCAGATCCTTCCCGACCATTCACGTAGACGAAACAGACAGCGCATGGCACAGGACGCAGTGGAGCCTCCTCATCTTCAAGCATCGCCTCAGTAGAGTTATAGAGTGTCTCGTCGATAACACCAAGAAACTTGTCCAGCTTCTCTTCAGAATAGGTTGGCGGGGGCAACTCCTTCATATCGTACTTGGAATCACGCATAAAGCTGTAGCGTACACTTGGGTCATTGCGCATACGAATGAACTGATGCCGCAGTTCCCTGTTGTCGCTGTGAAAGTACCGATACACAAGAGGAATAAGTCCCACTTCATGTGTTCCATACCGCAGAGAGAAGAAGGTAGGCGGTGCCTCACGCGAAGGTATACCACCCATGATGTTGATGATGATAATAAAACTTTCACGTCCCTTTTTGTGAAGTGTAAGTTCCCTCGCTCTTTTTTTTTTGTTCTTGCCGTGATCTTTACTCTTTCTGCTTTTTATCTCTCACGTGGAGATGAAGACGACTTTACAGTCTTTGCTAACCTCTTTTTTCTTTCAATTTGTTTTTTTTTTCTTTTATTTCCCGTTGACCAATGTTTGAGGAAACACAGAGTGAACGCCGGGTGTGACCACGGCTGAGTGGAAAGACAAAGAATATGGCGCCACTACAATCAAATTCTTCCTATTTGACTTGGTGCTGCTATTGCTGCTGGTTGTGAAGGCGATGGCGGTGGTGGCGATGGCGAAGATAAACGTGCTGATGCCTTTCCGTCTCGTGCCTTCAGTTGCTCCCTTTTTTTTTTTTTGCTTGCGGGTACACAGCTGCCTCACTCACTGAAAAAAAAAAAAAACGTCAGGTGGTAGTAAAGACAAGAAAGCCGAGAGAAAGAAGAGACATGTGGCGAGGACAAATGAAGAACATATACATCGACGCAGACATACCTGATGGAGGCCTCACCATCCACGGCGAACCCCCCCCCCTCAGACACACACACACACGCGCAGTCGAACAGGAATGCGCTCACACTTACAATGATATTACGGAACACAATGGAATAGATCTAGCGGTGATGAAGGGTGTGTACACGCGTGACTGATTGGGGTGGATAATAATAGTAATAATAATAATAATAACAGTCGTAGTAGTAGTAGTAGGTGGCACAGCAACAGGAACAACAACGTAGTCTGGCGCTCGCCTCTATTTTTCTCTCCAGTCTTTACTCTTTCGTCCTCTTCATTCGCCCCTTTCCATTCCCTCCCCCCTTCGAGTTTGGCACCCGCAGACACATTATGTATACGCATATAATGCGGTGTTTTTCGTTTTCTTCCTGTCTCCTCCGTCGCGCCCTCGCTCTCTCGTACTTCCTCTCGCCAACAGCATGAAGAGTTCTCCGGGGAACGAACGCACTCCAACAAAAACAAACAAACAAACAGAAACCGAAAATCAAAACCAGCAAAGAAACAACAAAATGAGATATATAGATAGATAGAGAGCAACAACGCCAACGGAATGAAACTAAGACAAAAATAAAATAAAAAAACCATGCGCTTTGCGTCATCACACCCACACCCACGCACAAAGAGTGGGACAGGGAAGGAGCAGTGTGCGAGAGACGATGTGGCGCCTCGCTCCACAGTCTCCCCCC